CAGTTAATTTGAACTAACAGCCGTTAGGAAAGTTAATTTGAACTAGCATCTATACATACAAACCACTAGCTCAAACTTAATTTGAACTAGCGGAGTGCTTAATTCGAACTAGGTAAACCTCATTCTACGAGGACTAACGCTTAGTTCGAATTAAGTTAGTTCGAATTAGTGCTGTAGTGTGGACATACCCTGAAGAGCCCAGCCCCCTGCCCCTTCTGTGGCATGAGGGAAAACCTGGCACATGCCTACCTTGAATGCACCAGGTTGCAGCCCCTATTCTGGCTCCTCCTGAACCTCTTATTGAGGTTCTGGCTGCACTTTTCCCCTCACCTTTTCCTGTACGCACACCCAATCCGTGGCCCCACAAAGTCACGAGACCTCCTCGTCAACCTGCTCCTGGCCCTGGTGAGAGCCGCTATCTATAATACCAGGAGTAAGATGTTGGACGAGGGGGTTCTCTGCGACTGTGGGGCCTATTTCCGTTCCTCCCTTGTGCCACTGATCCAGGCAGATTTCCTCTGTGTGCCATTCACTGGCTCCATCCACAGCTTTGAGGAGCAGGGGGCGCTGTCTGGGGTTCTTGGCTCGGTGTCCCTGTCCAGTTCCCTTGTTGTAAACTTTTGACCTGCACCGCGACCCTGTTTTTTTATTAGTTGTCCCAAGCAATTAGTTGAGCCCCAGGTCCAGTCATCCCTCCCGCAAGGCTGGCGGAGGGGCTTTTAGAAGTGGGCTGGCACCTGCCCACCTCTGGGATTTCATATTTGCAATACTTAAGGATCCCTTCCATGATTTTTCTGGGGACTGAGGTGAGGCTGACTGGTCTGTAGTTCCCTGGTTTGTCCTTCTTCCCTTTTCTGAAGATGGGCACTACATTTGCCTTTTTCCAATCATCCGGGATCTCTCCCGATCTCCACAAGTTTTCAAAGATAATGGCCAAAGGCTCCACAATGACACTTGCCAACTCCCTCAGTACCCTCGGCTGCATTAAATCCGGACCCATGGATTTGTGTATGTTTAGCTTTTCTAAATAGTTCCTAACCTGTTCTTTCCCCACCAAGGGCTGTCCACCTCCTTCCCATACTGCACTGCCTAATGCATTAGTCTGGGAGCTGATCTTGTCTGTAGAGACAGAGGCAAAAAAATCTGAGGAGGGAGGGACCGGAGAGAGTGCCCTATATAGTGCGGCATGTGTGTGCTTTTCCCGTATTTCTTAGGGAAAAACTTGTGGCACTGCGGCACGTGGCAGGAACACACACACCTCTGTTGAATGGACATGAGCAAGCACTCAGGGTCTGTCTACACTAAGCACTAATTCGAACTAGCAATTTGAATAAGCTAATTCGAATTAGTGCATCTAGACCTAAAAACTAATTTGAATTAGCGTTTTGCTAATTCGAACTAGCATGTCCACATTGAGTGGACCCTGAACCGAAGTTAAGGCTGGCCGGAAGCAGTGCCGGCAGGGCATCAGGTGAGGACTTAGAGCGTGGAGATGCTGTCTCAAGCTAGCCGAGGGCTGTGCTTATAGGGACCCAACCCGGACAGACAGTTCTCAGGGTTCCCCGCTTGCTTGTCTACTTCGATGAGGGACAGCAAAGCAGTCCTGTCTTGGAGTGCCCTGAGTGCCCGTACTCGGCACATCACAGCACACGGCCATCAGCCCAGCTGCACTTGCCGCAGGCTGCCATCCAGGGGAGGGTCAATCGGGGGGGTGCAGGAGAGCTTCCACCCCGAGGAGCCCGCAGAACCACCCCAGTCCTCCCCAGCA